TAAGTGTAAAAAATGGTCATGAGTCACTTTCTTCAATGCCATTGTAACTTCAAATGGTCACTAAATGAACTATTGTAAGTTAAGGACTATCTGTACTTTTTGGAGTCCTGTAGAGGAAACGCTGTCTTACTAGCCTCATGCTAAGTGTAGCTCAATTTCTTCTTTCTACAAGCATTTCATTGTAACAAAGGGTTACCATTGACAAAAAACACATGGGAAACAGAAAAACAAATGTATAATATTTATTACTTGGTAAAGTATCTGCCATTTCTAAGCACTTTTTCTATTCAAAAGAGAATTCAGGATACATCTTCAATTACCAGAAAGATATTTCATAGTAAGCTTAACTATTGCTCTTAATTACCAAAACTGAAGCTAGCAAGAAAAGGGATATTCTACAGCTTTATTCCCAGAGTGGCTTAAAGTAAAGATAAAAGTACCCTTTGTAATACTATTTGGCCAAAGACAGCCTCTGTAGAGGTAGATATGTATTTTATAATGTTTAACTAAATAGGTATTCCACTCTGGTTGTCACTTTACATATGCAATCTTCCTTTGCTTCATGTTGATCTCCCACTGAATGTGTTGTGATGCTGGTATGTTTGTGAATCTTGATAGCTAGATGTAGTCTGCTTTTTTCTGCTAGCATTTTGGCTTTGAAGTGAAAGAAGGAGCCACTGGAGTAGTCTCAACTAAAAACAGTCCAACAGGAGCTGTTCTTATGTCCTAGTCATCATGCCCAGAAAACCCATCACTGTAATAAAGGTTGGCCTCCTTTGAGAGAGTGCACTTGAGACAAACCTAGATTCCTTTCTATAATAGCACTAGACATAGCACTTAGACTTACATACTGCTCCACAGTGCTGACTTAAAAAACCGTGCTTGACTTATGAGGTCCGCAAGATGCTGAAAGCACAGAATGTGGCTTTTAAATCTGGTGACATGCTGGCACTTAGAACAGCCAGAGCAAATCTGAAATGTGCCATAAAAGGTGCAAAGCAAGCCCATTGCCAGAAAATTCAGAACTTTTTTCAGGACCCAACAAACACCAGGCGAATGTGGCAAGGGATCCAGGCCATCACGGATTACAAGGTGACTCCATCGAGATGCAAGAACGACACAGACTTCCTAAACAAACTGAATACATTTTTTGGTAGATTTGAGGCATCAAATAATACTCCTGCTAGGAAAGCTGTGCCCCATCCTAACGAGCAAGTGCTAAGTTTTGATGTCATCTCTGTCCGGAAAACACTGCAGAAAGTTAACATTCGGAAAGCAGCAGGCCCAGATAACATCCCTGGACATGTCCTCAAGGAATGCGCAGAGGAGTTGGCGTGTGTTCTCACAGATATTTTCAATCTCTCATTGCAGCAGGCAGTGGTCCCATAGTGTTTTAAGACAGCCATCATCTTGCCAGTGCCAAAAAAATTCCACAGTTACAGGCCTTAATGATGCACTGACATCCACCATTATGAAATGCTTTGAGAAGCTGATAAAGGACATTATTGTATCTAGCCTCCCGCCAGCATTTGACCCGCTTTAATTTGCTTACCGGCCAAATTGCTCTACGGAGTATGCTATTTCTTCCGTTCTCCATCTGAGCTTGAAGCACTTAGAGGAAAGAAATGCTCATGTGTGTTTGTTGTTTGTCGACTTCAGTTCAGCGTTTAACACAATCATTCCCCAGCATCTAGTAGACAAACTGGGCCTCTTAGGCTTAAACACTCCTTTGTGCAACTGGATTCTTGATTTTCTTACCAACAGGCCCCAATATGTGTGAGTTGGAACAAATACCTCTAATACCATTTCCTTGAGCACAGGTTCTCCTCAGGGCTGCGTCTTAAGTCCGCTGCTGTTCACCCTGTTGACCCATGACTGTTGTGCTAGGTTTGCCACCAAGTATATTGTGAAGTTTGCAGATGATACAACAGTAGTGGGCCTTATTCATTATGACAAAATGGAAGCTTACCGCAAGGAGGTTGAGGGGTTGGTGAACTGGTGTAAGGAAAACAGCCTAGTTTTAAATACCGGAAAAACCAAAGAGATCATTGTTGATTTCAGAAAAGCCAGGCACAGCCACACATCTCTGTGCATAAATGATTCACCAGTGGAGATGGTTACCAGCATCAAATTCCTGGGTGTGCAGCTAACAAGTAGGCTGGCTTGGTCGCTCAACAATGAGAAACTGGTAAAGCGGGCACAGCAGCGCCTGCATTTTCTGCATCACATGAGAAAAGCACATCTTCCTTCCCCTGTCCTGACCACTTTCTACAGGGGGACGATCGAGAGCATCCTGTCATACAGCATCACAGTCTGGTTTGGAAGCATCACTGCTTCAGATAGGAAGGTGGTGCAGAGAGTGGTGAGAATGGCCGAGAATTGGCAGTTCCCTCCCTCCCATCCAGGACATAGCACAGAAGCGCTGCTTGAGCAGGGTCCGTAAGATTATCTGGGACACTACACATCCTCTTCACAACATGTTTTCCTTGTTACCTTCTGGGAGAAGGCTTCGTGGTATCCGCAGCAGAACATCCAGATTCAGCCATAGTTTCATTCCATATAGCATTAACCTTGTGAACTCTCAAGCTTCCTCCTTCCGTTATATATTCAAGATGGACAGTATTTAATATTTATTTGTTATGTATATGTAGGGGTGTGGGTCTACACATATGTTGTATATAGTATGTTTTTAAAGCGTGTCATGTACATGTTTCACTTTGAGAGCGGGCAACTAAATTTCATTTTTGATGTGTGCCATTGTGCCCACAGTAAAAAAATGACAACAAATGTCAACATATTGTCCCCAACAATCTGGGTGCTCATTTTACCAACTTCGGAAGGATGGAAGGCTGAGTCAACCCTGAGCCGGTCAGGATCAAACTCTTGGTTGTGGGCAGAGTTAGACTGCAATTCTGCATTCTAGTCACTATGCTACCATGGCTCCTAATGTCATTGGGATGGGAAAAAACAATATTTTCAAATAGGCCTGAATGTGACTCCCTCCCCTTTCTTCTTTTCTGACCCAAAGTATCCTTTGCTTCTCATAAGATGCTTTAACTCAGCTTTGAAAATTGCCTCCCTTGGGGTGGAAGGCTGACTGGGGTTTCTATGTGTTATGAGGCTAGATTAGGTGCAAATGAAGCCTGATCCTCCTTTAGCTCTTTAATTATCATGTTGGACATTGCTAGGCTGGCTCCCACTGGAATTTCCCTCACAACTCCAATATAGCATACTGTCCGGTGTTTGTTGATTCTTCTGGTGTTATTCATTCAACAAAGTACAGGGAGATCCAGTTTCCATGTCCTCACTATGGCCTCAATAAAGGGTGCTGTTGCTGCATTTTCAGCTTCCCTGGTCTGTCCAGCCATAGGAAGCTTATACCATTGGTGGCATCACCTGTTTCTTGCCTGCCTGCTGAAGAATCACTATTTTTGGTGCTTTGTGATGCCTTGTCCATCATTGGGAGAAGGAATCCGGGACACTTTCAGAGAAGCTGCTGCCTGCTTCCTTCATTTTGCTTACTGCCTCTGAAGGCCATTACTTCATGAATTAAGTCTAATCCTTGTGACTAGATAACTGAGCTTGTTTCTTTGGGGCCTTTCAACTGCAATGTTTTGCTGTCTCAGGGTTGTATGCTGTTCCTTTCTCTTCAATCCCTAACCTCTGTTATAGTTCTTTTTGGGAGGAGCCAATGGGAGAGCCACTCATTAATCCTATAAGACACACTAATGAATGAATTGAGATTTCTCGTATGGAACAGGAACAAATCTTAAGGCTTGTTTTCTAGCTAGAAGTAGAATTAACCCTTTCGTATCAGTTCCAGCAAGAATTCTTAAATTTGAAAAAGAACTCTTCAACATTTTTGATGACATAAAGTAAAAATATTTGGGAAAAATACAGAAATTGAAATATATTATATTTTCCTGTTTATTTCAGCATTGGGAACATTGTGTCTTACCAACATTTTGGAATGTGACAGAGCAGTTCGAGGGGGAGGAAATGCATAATCTGCTGTTGCCAAATCTGGATATAAAACCTACAATTTCAAGAAAAAAATTAAAAGCAAGTGGTTTACATTTGTTTTTAAAATATTTTTTATATTTTAAATGTAAATTGTACCACATTTAAATTTCATATTTAAATTTAACAAATGTTTGCATTCTTGTATCCTTATTATTTCATTCTGATGCTAGATACAAAGAAACAAATGTTAATTCAGCTAGGAAATATTTATAACTCAAAGCAACTAACTGTGATTTTACACTTGAAAGGGAAAAAACTCAAATAGACTGAATAATCAACATTATACAAAAAAAGATCCCTTTAGTGTAAACCTTCTCAGAAAACATACAGAAGAGTTTTTAAATTTGATCGGTCTGTGTTGGTCCAACTTCTTTTCATGGCAACAATTAAATGCATTTATAATTAATCTATGTCTAATGCTTTTTTCTGCTAAAGTGAATCAAAAGAAGGAGGAAAAAATAATGAAGAAAAAGAAAGGAAGGAAGGAATAAAGAATGGAATCCATATACCACTAAAACTCTCCTATTTGCTTGACTCTTTGAACCTTCCAAATGGTGCATTATATCAGAACAGTTTTTGAATCCAGGTACCTTAAATCCACTAACTTAAAGAATGCACAAAATATCTTTATTACTTATTTACTACCCATTACTTCTTTCAAATTGAAACTTCCACCAGCTCACACTGTTCACACCAGTTTTATGTGCAAAGTTGTGGTTGTTGCAACATTTCTACTGTTGCACGATTGTGATTTCCGATGCTTCCTGACAGATTACCACAGGCAAAGACAATGGGGAAACTGGCATGAAATCAGAAGTCACTCCTGTTCCTGGTCCATTATACCACAAATATTTTGCAATCAAGGTACCTTAGATCTTAAAGAATACATAAAAAATCCAGGACATGTTATACTTGTGGCATTGAAATTACCACCATGTTCAGACTAGTCCTGTGAAGCTGTTGTGCAATCATCTTTCCAACAACCTTGTTTAAAAGGGAAGATTGGATACTGGACAAAAATTGTCCATTATGGTTGGGTCCAGTAATGGCTTCGTGAGGAGGGGCAGAGAAACCACTCCCTCTCACAAGGAAGAATTTACCATTGCTAAAACCTAATCCTAAGTCACTTCCCAGGAGCCTTTACCAATCAGGAGGGGCATGGGTCTAACAGGCAGTGGCTAAGCTCACAGTCATGAGAACCCTACTTGCTTCTTTATGTAACAAGTCCAGCTCCTTGGCAGGATTATATCTATGCACCTCCATAGGAACTGAACTAAAGCTGGCATTTAATTGGGAGCAAATCTGAGCAATTTTGTCCAACAGATGCTTTACAAAATCCTCTGCATAGCCCTGTAGATGCACTTCAGAGTCCCTTCTACTCAAGAGGGCTGTGGTCACCCTAAACAAAGCTGTCAGCTATCTACAAACTATGTGGGGTTAAATGTGCGTGAATGTTTATATCATGGAATTATACTTACTAGAGACAGAGAAGTTTGAGTCTGCTGCAGCAGTGGTTCTGGAAGCTGGGAGAGGTGAATACATTCAGGAATTTTAATTGTACCGCCATCTAGGTCTGCTATGATTACATCTAACTAGAAGACACAGAGATAGACATAAACACTTTGTATGATATTTAATACCATTAAACATAGATAGAACACTGAAATGGAATATCCATTGAGAAATAGGGAGGGACTGAATTGATGGAAATAATAGATTCTGATTTTAAATCAAATTTTGGTTGGAATTGTTAAAATATTCTGACTGATGTCTAAAGAATTTTGATTAACCAAGCTGTAGGCATAATCATTTTGCATAGCAGATCTCACTGTGGTGGTAACTTTAGATAGCTCTTTTGTTAAAGAAAGGGTTCCTCGTATTTCAAGAACAGAGCAAGATCAATCCAGGTTTTTCCCCAGTTATCGTATGGCTCACCAGAGCCATTTCCATGCTATTTTCAAGACAATTTCGGATTCTGCATGAAGAAGAAGGAACACAAACTGAGAAGTAGAAGTCCTGCTGATAAAATGTATTTATAGATAAATCTGAATCCAACTCACCATATAAATTGAAATTTTTTCAAATTAAATTTTCAAATATCATCAAATATCATCAAGTGAGCCACTGGCTCACTTCTCCCTTTCAATAAGGATTCCACTAGAACAACCACTACCAGACTTGCCTATTAGTTCTAAAACTCATTACTACTCAGTGCTATTATATTGCTTTTAGAAAATATCAGAAGTCATTCAAAATCAAAATGCTACGGTTAGGGTAAATCACATTATGACTATAGTTTCCAAATGGGTTTTTCCCTTGCCAAAATGTCTTTTTCTCCATTATATTCATTTCATATTTATGAGATATGTAACAATTTCTTGATACTGTTTGTTACTAATATGTTTGTACCACTCTGACATTTTTACAGTTAAGGTTGCCATATACTAATATTTTTCACCGCATAAACTCTTTGGATTCACTAAGAATTCCTATATCAGAGAGCTGGGTAGCATAGAAATTTAATCAATCAATCAATCATATTGCTAATATAGCATTCCTAATGGGTTTTTTTCTCCCATTAGAGCCAGCCACATATGTTTCGGAGCATAGTGGGCAATTAGTTAAGATTTTGTGATGCACAGTATTAATGAAAGAATGTAAGAAAATCTCCTGTTTTTGAGTAGAATTATTTATTTAATTTTAGATGAAGTTTTTACATCAGGCATAAAATCAAGCTTAATATACTCACTAGTTCATGGATATCATTACAGAAGATAGAATGTACACCAATAATAAAAGGTGTTGGTGAACTTAGAACCTCCAGGAGTTGTGCAGGTAAAATTGGAATGTACGGGTAACTGAGAAGAAAAGAAAGGACAAATAATGCAGCCACTCTACTTTGTTAAACACCAAACTTTACATGCTTTCTACCATTTCCATTAAATCAGCAAAAATACATTGACTGGATTTTTATTTACTTTTTTGAAAAGTATTTTCTTGCTTAATAAGTAGAGTGTTTACAAAAATAACTAGTTTCTGGTTAACAAAATATCATAAAATACATTTAACTGCATTTTCTATCTACAGTTTCCTCAACTGCATGACTGAAATATAATCTTTAAAATTAATGAAGGAGGCTGAATACAAAATATGCAGACAACTATTGATTGAGGTAATATACTTAAAATTAGATTTTTTCCAAGACAAACATTATTTATCTAAAACAGTTACAGATAAGCGAAAATTGTAATCTAAATTTAAACAAGAATAGTTAGTTAAAATAGCTGAAACAGAGCTGTTTTTATCAGATAACTCTGTACTTTGCTGGCAACAATAATACACGTGAAATAGATCTATATACAGAAATTATTTCAATAGCATAAAACATATTAATATATTAAACAAAATGATTAATTTATGTTTATCCAGGTAAGAAGAATTCCAAAACTGTATTCAGATGGCAACTGGAAATATCCTCCCCCCCTTCATCCTTTCTAGAGACATTTCATATAAAGTTTGAACACCATATCTGGGATTATACCAATAACATGACCTCCATCAGCCTGTCAAAATCTTTTACTGTAAGATAATGGGTAAATTATTACACACATAAAGAATAACCATATTACTTGAGATGGTTTCAGTTGTCTTTGAGGAGCTGAAAACTCCAAGGCTGTGACTGAATACGCATGCTGAGCTTGTGCATTTCACGACAATCATGAATGTTTAAACTTGTCACTAGATCAATAAATTGGGCATAAAATATTCACGAGCTTGCTTCTTCTTTATGATGGGACAGGCGGCTTAGCTATTGGCAGTGGAATTAAACATTATGCTGTTGTAGTTGGGCCTTGAATCTCATTTTTGTAAATGAAGACTTTAGCATGTGTCACAAAACCAATGGCCTTAATTAAGGACTTTTAAGATTGGAAAGAGAAGCAGCCAGACTACCAGGCGCATTACACAGCTTGACTGTTGAAAAGGTTCAACCATTTCAGAAATCAAATAATTATAGCAGCATTTATGATCTCTATAATGTGAAGAACAGTATTACGTTTATACACTAAAAGTCTGGATGAGGACATCTGAAAAACAAAGTATTTAAAAAGACACTGCAGCCATCATGCTGAAACTTATTATTTCTATGAAGGCTCTTTGGCTTGTATTTCAAACAAATTAAAATAAAACAAGTCAGATAGTGAAACATGAGGTGTGTATGTGTGACATACTGTTTTGCAATATATTTCTATAAAAGTCCTAGATTTGGGGAGTCCTAACAGAAAAGGAATGGCAAACTATAAAAAAAAACTAAAAAAAAAACCTACCCCCCCCCCAAGATAATCCACATTGATAAAGATTTGGTGCACTCATTTTAAAAATCTTACCTATATTTGAGAGGAAACATTAAGGACTCTAATGCTCTACAGGCATCGCTCAGTCTTTGGAAACTAGCAGAATGAAAGAGGACTTTATTTTCTGTAAGGACTGCACAGAATAGATTCAGCACATTTTGAATTCCTTAAAAAAAAGACACAGTTTTAAAATATATAGACTTATTGCAATAACAAAAGAATGAAAGTTATGATGTATTAATTGACTATTATTGGAATCACTTTAGGAAAATATGTGATAAAACTCTGCATTTTGGAGATTTTCTTATTTCTGAGTTCTTTCATTTGCTCTTTGACACGTATTCATTATGCTATTATTATTTCTATATCATTAGAATATGACACAGAAATTGGATATCTTTCAGTATATTTGAGCCCATTTTTTCAACATTGCTCAATAATTACTTCAAATAGATTTTGTTCTGTTATTTATGCATCTAAAAGCCATTTAAGTGGTTATTGTAGTTTATCAGACAAGTATAACAGCACAATCTTATAGAATAGCTCAATCTTACAAAATCATTCTCCAAACACATTAGGTTGCTGTTGTGAGAAAAAAACTATCTCTGAGTTATCTGCAAAACATACATTAATAATTATGAGTCTGAAAAGAATCCAACACTTGAAGATTAGCTGGTTGAAAAATCTAACAAGCTTTTTCATTAACTGTGTTAATGAAACAGACACAAACATAAAAAGAGCAAAAGAACGGCCAAAACGTTTCTAAGAATTTATAATTCTGAAGCCCCCTTTAAAATTAAAACAATTTTAAAATAAATGTTAAAACAATTATTTTATTATTTACTGGAATTCACGTTATTTCTAGACTAAGCAGAATACTCATTAGGTGGTGACTGTCACATGTGATCCAATTTGGAAAAACTTTTTTCTTTGTGATTTAAGACCCTCTTATATGTTGCTCACATCACACTATTATGCATAGTCTGTTCAATCAAAAAAGATAAAGTTGATAACTATTACCTGTGTTCTCTAATTAGAATTCTTGATAGAGAACCTTTAGGAAATTCTAATGCCCATAAGCTTATGGCAGCAGAAATGTATTGTCTATAAACAGTTTTGCCCATTTCAAGGGACTTCATTAAGTCATTACTTATTGCTGTTTTACGACTTTCTTCACCAGGATTATTGAACTTTAGAAGACATATAGTCAACCATAATATATTATCTCTTTTAATGCTCTAGTGCTTATTAAACTATTTATGCCACCTATATACCTATACACAAGGAGTCTAACAAAATCATATGGATAAAATAGAAAGACCATTATTCCCAGTATTTGTGATTTAGAACAGATATTGTGAAAGCAATAGTACAAGAAAAAAAAATAGAAAATATGGGAATTGAAAAAGAATCTTGACAAATACCATTAAATATCTGAAATTTGATTATACTGCTATATATTAGGTTGCTGTTGTGAGAAAAAAAATCTGAGTTATCGGCAAAACATACATTAATAATTATGAGATAAGCCAGATAACAATCACAAAGTACGCCGTATGATCAGGGATTGAAAAGAAGGGTAGCAATATGGATGCACTAGCAGAGAATGGAAGAGTATTTAAGGTGACATAATGACATAAAGAACAAAAAAAAATTCCAATTTTGATTTCAAATTAGAAAAAAGAACAAATAAAACTTAGTCGAAAAGCCAATCCTTGCCAATTATTTAATTTATGTACTCTTCCTTTCAACAGGTGATTCAGTCTCTTCCCAATCTCTTTGTATTGTCCATGTAGATATATAAATAAGTATTTTGGTTATCCATCTTGTTGAAGCTCCAACTGAGAATCTCCATAGACATCTTGTTGAAGTATAAGTAGAAAGGAAAGAGAACAGATACATACAGGTAGTCCTCGATTTATGACCAAAACTGAGCCCAAAATTCTGTTGCTAAGCAAAACAGTTGTGAAATGAATTTTGCTTCAATTTAAGACCTTTCTTGCCACAGTTAAGTGAAACACTGCAGTTGTTAAATTAGTAACACGGTTGCTAGGTGAATCTGGCTTCCTCATTGACTTTGCTTGTCAGAAGTTCGCATGGTCACATGACCCCAGGACACTGCAACATGACAGTCACCAGGCATCCATATTTGGATTACATCACCACAGGGTGCTGCAATGGTTGTAAATATGAAAAATGGTCATAAATAACTTTTTTCAATGCCGCTGTAACTTCAAGTGGTGACTAAACAAATGATTGTTAAGTTGAGGACTACCTGTATCTAACTCTGAGAAGGTTTTTTTTAAAGGTAAAGGTAATGAATGTTAATGCTACTAGGTATGAACTGCAAATATCTGGATGATATTAAATGAAGAACTACCTCTTTCCTACTAGCTGATGGTTACCTGGAATTTTTTCAGCCATGTTGGAGGCTATAGTGTCTCCTTCATCTCTGAGGAATGCCACTATCCCAATCCCATATATTTTCAAAACATTTTCTCTTTCCATGGTGCTAGTTGTATGAGAGATATTCTTAGAATGAATGAATTCATTTTTATTTTGAGGATATTATAATTCATGTGGTAGTGCTCTATATATTAGAAGTCAGTGTTGCTGTTTGAATGAGCGAGTAATTTTCAACCAAACAGGAATTGATATAGAGGCCTCTGCAGAGAAGGTAGTTGTGACTGGGTACTGAAAAAATCCCTTTAGGTGTCTGCAACAAAGACTTTAAAAGGTGAGGCTTTAATTTTGACATCATTGGTTGCCCTGTGAATGCTAAATTTTTATTGAATTCATTGGTAAAAAGTTCTGAAATTCATATATTTCGCTATTCTGTTATCTGAATGAAGGGTTTCTGGATTTGGCTATTTTGCTCTAATCAAGTTTTTGGGTTGATAATCTAATGCTGACCAATGACTGAAATAAAGATTTGATGCATGATTTCATTAGGTGTCCATCCATATATAATGCCCACACTGAGAGAATACATGAAAGTCAGTTGGTCCCATAAGTACACAATACCTAAACAAAATTAAGTGAACAATACAAACAAGTAAATGTATTGAGCTAGAAAGAAAAAGCCTCATCTGAATCAACGTTCCCCAATAATATAAAAGCTGTTTGGCAGTTCTTCCTTCTGTACTTTTCACTTCCCCACCAAATAGTGGAAAAGGATATATACTGGAAACAAAATAAGAATAATTTTCACTAATAATCTTCCAAACACTTCCATTTTTTAAAAAATGAGAATTTACATACTTCTAGTTTATCCAGCTTTGTGTGTCTACTTACTACTGTAAATTTCATTCCCTGCTATTACAGCTCATGTGATACTTCTTCTTTCAATTATTCTCTTCCCTTTAAAATATCCAAATCTTGTAACCGCTAAATAAATGTTGTCTCCTATTGGTCAAAAATTACCTCTCTCCCATGCACATTATTAATTATATTTCAAATCTTACTGAAGTGTATGAGATTATATTTTTTTCCCTTACACTGATATCATGTTTAAAACAATTATTCTAAAACTAACTGTGTTTAGAGCTACTTCCTTTTGGCAACTACTAGTAGTATAGTATTTGGTTCTTGTGCTAATCAGTGCATATTTGGGAAAATAAAAAAGCATCTGTAATAATTTAGAAGCTTCAGGAGTGGATTTCGAATAAAGAAAAAAAATTCATCTCCTTCAAATTTGGAATGCTTGTAGAATAACATTTAACCAATTCTCCTATTTTCCTAAAAAAAATCTTATCCAGATCTTTCTATATTCTAAATTTTGAAGTGTAAACAACAAATATTCAAGAACACTTGTATTTTTAATAGCTGATAATTTAGGAAGCAAAGAGAGTTTTAGCTCCAAATTCATTTTTTACCCTAAAACACTTTGAGCACTGCTGGCTTATGTGATAATTATTCCCAGCACTTGTTATAATCAATCTGCATTCTCTCCACCGCTGTCCTCACTCTCTACAGATTGCAAGCTTATTCAGAGAGCACTGCCTCTACATTTGCAAGTCTAGAACTCACAGACAGCACCTTTAGCCAATCATTCAGCCTATGGCATGGCAACAAATATGAAATGGCTTGCCAGCAGGATAATGTTTGAGGACTTTTTGTGGACCCAGAAGTTTGAGTTTGGGTTTGAGGACTCCAGAGATGAGAAGTGTGCATGCATTCTCTCTAGTGAGAAAATAAGCACTAATTAATACACGAGCTGTCTGGAATATGAATCTGTTTATCATTGAAGTGAGGAAAAAAGATTGTCATCCAAGGATGGTAAACAACTGGAGTTTTTATAACTATATATCAGTGGTGGCGAACCTATGGCACGGGTGCCAGAGGTGGCATTCAGAGCCCTCTCTGTTGGCACGCGCACTGCCAGCAGCAGGTCCATCAGGCCGCCACCGCCGCTCAGAGCAGGAGCTCCACCCAGCACAAAGGAGGCAAAGCGGCCAACTAGCAAGCTCGAGTACAGGTGGTAGAGAAGAGGTCACCAACCATTGTTGGACTGGAAGAAAAGGGAGGGGGAAGCATTTTACACTGCAAATGGGATGGGGCTAGTGCCTGCGTGATACTCACTAGCCCTGCCCCGTTCTTGCGTGATAGAGCGCCTTGTATCTGCACCCCACAGTGCAGCGGCGGCCATTTTTATGCCCTTGATTTTTGTGTGCCAGAGGCGGCACTCAGAGGCGCCTCCCTGCCCCCCCATGAGGGCACCACAATGCTGATGCAGCCCTGGCACTTTGTGATAAATGGGTTTTGGATTGCGGTTTGGGCACTCGGTCTCTAAAAGGTTCGCCATCACTGCTATATACTGTATCATATCAAGACTAGGAGATGTGTGTCCATCAACAGAGGCAGGGGAAAATTATTACACAGTAGAGCTCAGTTTTTAAAATTGGTCTACACCAGCTGTGGATCTTATTCACAAATCTTGTATTCATTTAATCCAAATATATTTAATATATGCTTTTGACCCACTATATGAATGTTCATTCAGATTTTCTCCATTTAAACAGGTCTTCTTCTTTACTTCCTCTTTTACCACTTCGGATCTCAAGGGAGATACAAAGTTCTGGCTCTTGCTCTTCTGGTGGCCTAAACCATTGTTAATAGATGTTGATCTAGTGTGTCTTTGATGTTATTTGTTCATTTTCTTCTGGG